AAACTGAATTTAAAATTAGGTTACAGCATCTAGATCAAGTCTGGACTAATATTTGACATCAGATTGATATGAAGGTGCCTGCTGGACCATTGCTGGGACACTGATGCAGTGACACATTTCTCCAAATCTGATGAAGAAACAAACTCATCCTGATCTGGCATGGCCTCGTTTCCCATCATCATCCTCATCCTCATCATCAGTAATGCACACAGGTTTAATGTGCAGCAGAAGAATGGAGATGTAGCCTCTCTCATATCTGAGTGTTATCTGGTTTCTTCACAGCTAAAGAAAGTGTTTCAGAATGTCTCAGGAGAGATTTCGCATGCTTTCATCCTGCTGTGATTTTAATTAGACACAAACACTATAAATAACGTTCATTACAACACAATCTAATATCAGAGGGAGCGCTCAACAGGTGAGAGGATGACTGATGGGTGATATTACACACAGAGCTCAGACATTATCTGCACTGGATCATACAGACTGTTCTTTCCTCTGGTTACTGAAGGTCCAGACAAACTGTGTTTCAGAACAAGCTCATCACACAGACCAGCTCATCCTCCAAAAACAACACATCAGCGCTGGATTTAATGGTCAGGTTTGCTCATTTACTGCAGTAATCAGTGTATCGTCTGTTGCTTCGCTTGGTGTCTCAGTTCTACAGATGCTCCTCTTGAAGCACAATGAATGCAGTCAAACAGCATCGAACACGAAGCATTAAGATCCTACAGCATGGGAACGCTAAATGAAACACAACACTATTAAACCTATATCACCATCATCATTTGAAGAAAAACATGAAGTTTTTAAATTATTTTTTCTCCTGGTTCATTTCCTGTGAATATGAGATCACGAGCCTTGCGTGTGTAAATGAACACAGAGCCAAACTTCACTCTCAAAACAGCAGCGGCAGCTCGTCAAAATAAAAGCTTGAGCTTACTAAGTATTACTATATTCTCATATAAAACGCAAATATTTACTGAAAGAGGTTTGAGGTGGTTCCTGTAAAAAGTAAACCTAAGTATGACTTGAGTGTAAGGAAGTAGAATTAGGATGAATTGAAATTCATTGATGTATTTTTAACTAGAAAGAGTGGTGTTTATTGAGACTTAAAGTCTCAATTAAAAAAAAGTAAAATTTGTTATTTTTTTTTTTTTTAATGTTTCTACATTATATCACATTTAATAAATAAACTGTTGTGAATCAAGGTGGAAAAACACTTCATTTCCCAGAATGCATCAGCTGAGTTGCGTTTCTTTGAATTGCAGGTCAGTACCTTCAGCATAACTCTACAGCTGTTGCCGGGAGAGGAGCCTGTTGCCTGGTAACCGTGACAGGCAAGCTGGAGGAATGATGGCACGGTTACCATCACCACGGCAACACTGTGAAAGAAAAGATGTACCTTACAGCAGAGAGAGAGAGAGAGAGAGAGAATAATTTTGTCTCTGCT